TGTTGCTGATCATGTTGATGTTGCTGTTGCTGCTGCTATTGCTGTTGCTGTTGCTGTTGTTGTTGTTGTTGTTGTTGATGATGTTGCTGTTGCTGTTGTTGTTGTTGCTGTTGATGTTGCTGTTGCTGTTGTTGTTGCTGTTGCCGTTGCCGTTACAGTTGCTGTTGTTGCTGTTGTTGTTGTTGTTGTTATTATTATTATTATTATTATTGTTATTGTTATTATTGTTGTTCTTGTTATTATTATTATTATTATTGTTATTGTTATTGTTATTATTATTTATTATTGTTATTGTTATTGTTATTGTTAATGTTATTGTTATTGTCATTGTTATTGTTATTATTATTATGATTAATATTATTATTTTTATTATTATAATTATTGTTATTATTATTTGCATTATTATTATTATTAATATTATTATTAATATAATTATAATTATTATTATTATAATTATTATTATTATTATTATGATTACTATTATTGTTGTTGTTATTATTATTATTATTATGATTATTATTGTTGTTGTTGTTGTTGTTATTGTTGTTGTTATTGTTGTTGTTATTATTATTATTATTGTTGCTGTTTTTGTTATTGTTATTGTTATTGTGATTGTTATTGTTATTGTTATTATTATTATCATTATGATTATTTTTATTTTTATTGTTAATGTTATAGTTATTGTAATTTTTTTTGGTAGCTATATTTTATTAATTACCAAGAACAATCATTACAATCCAAGCAGCTATCACAACATGCTTCAAACTCAAAATCAAAACCAAAAGATTACACCTACAATCCTAACTATTTCTTAAATGTCGATTGTCTTACAATTTCCTTCATTCTAGAAGGAGTTCTAGCAATAGTTACATAGGCTATCTCTTTAACTATTTGATCCTCATTTTTTCTCTTGTGCTAAAAAAATCTACTATTTCTCTCAATCCACAATCCATAGATACCTTCAGTCAATATAATCTTGAACATTTGTGATGCTGAGCTGTTCCCTTTTCCATGAAGAATACACCACTGCAGAAACTGCTCCCATGTCATTGGAACATTACTTTGTTGCCCTATCCAGTTTAATAGTCTCCCCCACGTTCTCCTGGCAAAGTTGCATTGCATAAACAGATGTTCTACATTCTCATCAGCATTTTTGCATAACACACATGTCATCTCTACTAAAACTCCCCACTGAGCTAATCTGTCCAGTGTTACTAGCCTTTGATTCATCATGATCCACATTGTGAAGTAAGCTTTTGGTCTTGCTGCATTGTTGAACATAAGAAAAGTCCATGCTGGCCTTTGTTGATCTCCCTTCATGTGACAATAAAGTTGCCTGATCATCCCTTTACTTTTTCCTTGCATTTGCTGAACCCGCTCCACAATTTGCTTTGCATTCATTACTTTTTGTATTATCCAGCTTGCATGTTTCCTCCTCTGCCATTCTCGTTGCCCTTTTATATAGTATGTATGTATCCATTTAATCCATAGTTTATCTTCCTTGTTAGCTAGATCCCAACAAAGTTTAGCAACTGCAGCTCTATTCCACATTTTCATATTGATCAGCCCCGTACCTGCTTCACATTTAGGACAATACACTTTCTCTCATGCTATCAATGCCTTTTTTGTAACATAGCCAACCCCTGATCATAAATAGCTTCTACATAATCCTTCAATCACTTTAATTATCTTTGAAGGAATAATAAAAAGGTGACCCCAGTAAGACTGTACTCCAAACAGAACAGTCTTAATCAGTTGAGTTCTTCCAGCATAAGACAATTTTTTGTTGTCCATGAGTTGATTCTTGCCATGATCTTGTCTATGAGTGGATACCACTGTATTATAGTCAACTTGTTTGTTGAGAGAGGCACTCCCAAGTATTTGAAAAGTAGCTCTTCCACTGTATAACCAAGTTGTTGCATAATTTGTTGCCTTACCTCCATCTGAACTCCACCACAGTATATGGAGCTTTTTGTGAGATTTTCCTGCAGCTTGAGAGAACTCTGAAAAGCACCTTTGAAGTATCTTGATGGACTCCAAATCTCCTCTTGAAAACAGAAGTAAGTCATCTGCAAAACATAAGTAAGTAATGGCCAGCTTAGAGCATTTAGGATGATATTTGAATGTTTTCTCTTCTTTAAGCCCTTTGAGGAGCCTACTGAGGTATTCCATTGCTATGGCAAACAAAAAAGGTTACATAGGATCTCCTTTGTCTGAGGCCTTTAGCTGCATCAAATCTTTGAGTAGTTTGTCCATTAACAACAATAGTATAATTCATTGTTTTGACACAATGCATCACCTACTGAATAAACATCTCTGGGAATCCCAAGCCTACCATTACTTGTTCTAAAAAAGGCCACTCAACTGAATCATAGGCTTTATGTAGATCAATCTTAAGAATGATTCTAGGAGAAATATTCTTCCTAGTATAAGTCTTGACCAATTCATGAGCCAGAATAATGTTATCTGCAATCTTTCTCCCTGGTATGAATCCAGCCTGACTCTCACATATAACATCATGAATAACATCATGCATTCTTCTTGTTATCACCTTTGAAATGATTTTATAAAGTACAGTGCAACAAGCAATTGGCGTATACTCCTTCACAGTTTTAGGACATTGAACCTTTGGAATTAAAGAAACAAGAGTGCAGTTGAAAGGCTTAAACAACTTTCCTGTTGTGAAGAAGTTTTTGACAGCCTCAATAACATCCTTTTTAATAATCTTCCAAGTATGCTTAAAGAAAAGTGCATTATAGCCATCTATACCTGGAGCCTTATCATTCCCATAAGACTGCAATGTTGAATAAATCTCCTGCTCTGTTATGTCTGTACATAATTGAATTCTTTGTTGCCTTGATGATACAGGTCCTCTTTTCATCACCTGAGCATTTATAGCTGGAAGTTTACCTGCTGAGATCCCATAAGACTTTTATAAAATAACAAACTCCTCTTGAATCTCATGGGGTTCATATAGCATCCTTCCATGTATTGA